CGGGAAGGACGAGAGAGAGCGGACGAGAAGAAGGAGAGAGAGAGAGAGAGAGAGGGAGAGCGAGGCGAAAGATTCGCGGATGCGGCGGGGTGTCTGCACCCGTGCGTGAATCACGCTTCAGAAACGCTCTCTGTCTCTCTCTCCGCTCGCCGTCGTCCTCGAGTGCGTCCTGTGCTCACCGCGACATTGACCTGTGTCTTGTCGCTGGACGCCACCACCGACAGCAACCAGCAACGGCATCAGCAGCAGCAGTAGAGGTAGTGACCATCCTGATCGAGCGCGAGGGGGAATCTCGACCGACCAGCCAACCAACCAGCCAGCTAGACAGCGGCGTCTCTTGGCGCCGATCGAGAGAAATTCCACGAAGAAGCCACCGAGTTGCTCGGATTCTCGCACGGATCACCGGATACCACCGTCGATCGCCATGACTCATCCCGAGCGAGTTCCTCAGCAGGTACCGGGTGTTCTATGATGAAGGGTGTCCTCGCGGCGCGGTGAGAGGACCTCCACCTGCGACTCTCTACCTACCGGGTGTGCCTTCCGAGGATCTCGCGGGTGTTTCCCAGAACTGGGAAACTCGGCAACGGCGTCGTCGTCGTCGTGATTGTCGGTGACAGGCTGGAGAGTATCCGCTGAAAGAGACGTCCGCGGTGTCGAAAGTGAAAGTCGCGAGAGAGCGATTGAGGCGCGATTGACCACGAGTATATATAGACGCACGCGTTGACGGAACGCGGGTTTGATTGAAGGCGTAGAGACGCAACGGAGGATAGACTGGCAACAAAGAAACAGAAGCGGCTACAACATGTCAGATGAGGAAGACAAACCCCCTGCACCCCCTGTTCGATTGACATCAAACAGGTACGCTCAGTGTTATTATCTATCCGCTCTGAATTCATATGTAATAATTGATCTAGTTAAAGGAGAATCGAATGTGCTGCGAAGCATATCACCTTGATCTTGCTTTGATTTTTGCTCATCTATCGCTAAACTTAAGCATGGGACATATATGTAAAATTGATAAGTTTGAGGAAATATTGCTGAGATAGCAGTTGATATCACGATGTATCTCATATTGTTTTTATAAGTATTATGAGAATGCATAGAGAAAAAAATTTTTGCTGAGCATACAATCCAGAGCTCTATAATACTACCATAACTCTGGTGTTTTCTATGATATATATAAAAGTATGTATTCTCCAAAAATAGAGAGGCATTGAGCTATAGGCTGCTAAAAATAATATCTCTCGGTAGCTTTCTGTTGTGGGAGACCATCATTAAAGACGTCTAGACATAATCCCAGCATTGTCCCTAACAGATTTGAGAGATTATATGTGTATGCTGTCAGAACATCTAAATATATCTTTATATAGTGAAATTATGTTATTCTATAGTATCTGTCAACAAAAGTATTTATGGTCTTTAATATTCATTTGTGTAAAAGTGAAATATAAACTATTATTTTTAATGCTACTCGACATCAACAAGTCGCTACATATTAATAATTAGCAAGATAATAATAACTAGACAATTATTCACAATTGCGATCTGTGAATAATACCATTTTCACTTTCAGGGGAGAATCAGCGCCTAATCTACCGGTGGACATGCGTCCACTGCCTAAGGAGCCGGATTCTGACGAACGCAAGAAGAAAACTCTGAAGAGCAAGATGAAGGTGAAAGAGAATAAGGACAAGCCCAACATCAGTTATCCCACGAACTTCGAGCACACCGTGCACGTCGGATTCGACGCCGTGACCGGTGAATTCACGGTAGGTTTCCTCGATTCGCGATTCGCACAGTCGCCTTTATACACCTATTATTCAAAGTGCACTCGCTTACCGCTTCGCTGTTGTATCACGGTGCGGATTATCTATGGGAGAGATGAACAAAAAATGAGTTATGTTACCGTAGATTATTACATTGGCGTCGTTTTTTTTTTATATATTGTACTACATTCTGCATTTTCTTATGCGAATCACATGGATCTTCCGTACCTGATCGAAATGAAATATGAGACACTGGTTTCACATATATTCGAATATTTCGAGAACGATACTTTGGTAATTTGTCCGACGCTTCTTATATCTTATTATTTCCACATGATTAAACTAACAAGACACGTATTTCTTTTCAAGCTGCCACTAAAAGTAAGTAAATTAATATGAATTAATTTGCCTGTATTTTACGTTGTACATACATTTACACCACGTGGTTTGACACTTTCTTTCCGTTGCGGTTTTTATAAGATTAGATGTTTATTTTTTTTGTCTTTAAGTATGTCAAATTTTGTCCATATATAGTTGCTTCTGTAGATTGATATAAGCTTTAGTCGACGTTGCATACAACAATATTCATTTCCTTCTTACAGAATGATTTTCGACAGTGGATGGAATATTTAAAATCTATAAATTCTGTTTATAAATTATTTTCACTTACGATTGAAACTGTGCATGTAACTATAGACTTTAATTAAATAAAAATTAAATAATGATTTCATTAAATTTTCGAAATTTCACAGTCATTATTCACACACGTACACACATTAAAAGAGATAATATCAAAGTTTAAAATATATTTTTAGTAAAAGTTCTTTCTCTTACAGATTAATAAAATTACAGAAGAAGAGTTATATTGAATAGAATTCATAATTTGGAATTAATGTCTTAAGTGATTATACAAATATAGATCTGTTTTTCATTGAAATTTATTACTATCTTACAAATAGTGATGTCTACCGATTCTTATTTTTCTACACGTGATAGTTGCATGTTCGAAAATCAAATCTAGAATTAGTATATTAGATTGCATTTTTTACATAAATTAGTTATACTCGCCGAATCATTTACCATCTATTTTTCGTAGTAAACATGATAATCTGTTGTTTAACAATATGTGTTTGTTTCATAGGGTATGCCGGAGGCATGGGCGAGATTGCTTATGTCCAGCAATATTAGCAAGCAAGAACAGAAGAAAAATCCGCAAGCTGTATTGGACGTACTAAACTGGTATGACAGTAGCAGTAAGGAAGCAAAGGGCTCTAAATACATGACCACAACTAAGATGGTTGGAGTTGTTGGTAAGCATCATGTCTCGATTCGCTAATAAATAATTTGACTTTGAACAAATGTCTCTATATATTGATATTGATAATATTCTTTAGCTCCAATCGAAAGGGCGAGTAGTCCTCGAAGTATGGGAATGGGTATCGGCACGGGAATAGGCAATATTCGCGGCCAGGCGATGTCTCAGGCATCTGGTAGTTCTCACTCTCAACATTCGTTGAGCAGGTGAGTCTTTTACACTTTTTCGCGTTGTGCTTGTCCCTTGGTCGTCTAAATATTTTCTGAGAAATGGCAACGTTACAGAGTGAGTAGCAGTAGTCCGAGTAGTACGCCGACGGATGCGTGTGCGACTAGCTCGGAACAGGAAGATGAACCACCGCCTCCGCCGATCTCCGCTCGACCGGAACGCACGAAATCGATTGTAAGTTTTTTCTTTTTACGCGAAATAATGCGTATTCGATAAGTCTACTAATTATAGCATTTTACAAACTATATAAAACATTTTACTTTATTGTGCAGTACACAAAACCTATAGAGGAGGAACCGCCACCTCCCCTGACGACCACATTGGGTTCGCCGCAACGAAACGGCATGCAACAACAGCAACATCAGTCGCAATTAGATAGGAATAAGAATCAAGCGACACCGACTTCAACAACGACTGATCAGACACGACCGGCGCAAGGTGATAAAGCTAGAAAGAAGAAGATGTCAGACGACGAGATATTAGAAAAGCTTAGAACAATTGTAAGCGTAGGAGATCCTAATAGAAAATATACGAAAATGGAAAAAATAGGACAAGGGTAAGATAGGAAGTAACGCTTGATAAATGATTTTTTAACGTACGTAAAATTGTACTAATTAACGATCATCTTGCAGTGCCTCGGGGACAGTGTATACGGCAATAGAAACGTCCACTGGTATGGAAGTTGCAATAAAACAAATGAATCTGTCGCAACAGCCAAAGAAAGAGCTTATAATAAACGAGATTTTGGTAATGCGGGAGAACAAGCATCCAAACGTTGTAAATTATTTGGATAGTTATTTAGTTGGGGAAGAACTCTGGGTAGTCATGGAATATTTGCCAGGTGGCAGTTTGACAGATGTTGTCACTGAGACATGTATGGACGAAGGTCAAATTGCCGCAGTGTGTAGAGAAGTACTACAGGCACTCGAGTTCCTTCATTGTAATCAGGTTATACATAGGGACATCAAGTCCGACAATATTCTATTGGGTCTTGATGGTGGAGTTAAATTAACGGACTTTGGCTTTTGCGCACAAATCTCGCCGGAGCAAAGCAAACGGACGACGATGGTTGGCACGCCGTATTGGATGGCGCCGGAAGTGGTAACGCGAAAGCAATACGGACCTAAGGTAATTCGGCATGTCGCTATTGCTAATAAAAATCGATTGAATACGCGATTAATTATAACAACGTCCCTTGATCATAGGTCGATATATGGTCGTTGGGAATAATGGCAATCGAAATGATCGAAGGAGAACCACCATATTTGAATGAAAATCCATTGAGAGCGTTGTATCTAATCGCGACAAATGGCAAACCGGAGATCAAGGAGAAAGACAAGCTGTCGGGTATATTCCAAGACTTCCTGGACCAATGTTTAGAGGTCGAGGTGGAGAAACGGTCCGCGGCTTCCGAACTATTAAAGGTAAGAACAGTTATTAATACATGAAAATGTATTCTCAACACATACGCGCGTACTTGTCTCGTTCGAATTGATTTAATTGGAATTGTGTGTTTTAAATTGAATTGCAGCATCCTTTTCTGAAATTAGCTAGGCCACTGGCTTCGTTAACACCTTTGATAATGGCGGCGAAGGAAGCTGCCAAAGGTCATTAAGAGAGATAGTGACGTTTAGACTATAGATTTGTAAGATGTGACTCCAAGAGTACGGTGAAAAAATTATGCGAAAAAGAAGGAAATACTGAATCACCCTCCCAAAACGGAAACGGCACAATAATTCAATAATATATAATAAATAATGAATATAAACGTATATATATATATATATATATATAAATAAATATACATATATATATGTATGCATACATATGTGTATATCGTATGTGAATATTATATTAAATGCGACATGTCGTGTATACACATACGCATGCATATATCCATTATGTACGCATTATAGATTACATAGATAGATAGATAGAACTTATTCGATACCGTGATGGAGTATCGAGAAAACGGTTGCAAAGTTTTTAAAAAAAAGATATGCTCGATTCTCGCATGTTGCGAGCAAAGTTAAATCAGAAAGAGCTATGAGCGATCTGACGGCAAAAACCTTGTTTTCCTCGATAAAGTCCACGGTTATAATTGAAGTGCAATGGATTCACAATGTCTCAACTTAATTTTTGAAGGAAACGAAAAAAAAAGAAAAAAACAGAATGCATGCTTTATGGTATGTGCTATTATCTGTGACGTATTCTTGCCGCAATTCTGACGGATTATCATCGGGGAAATACAAGTAATTGTCAGTTATTTTCTAAAAATATAAAACTAGTATTACTAACTCTGAAAGGAGAAAGAAAATTCGAAGAATTGGAGTTAGCAAAAAAGCGCATATTATTTATAGCGAGAACCTTATTAGATAATACCACAAAGAAATGTGAACAAGTATACATAGGACCTATTCTAATATATTATTATTGTTTAACGAGAGATCGTAGAGAGAGAAAGAAAAACGGAGAGAAAGGAGATTAGTCTTCGTATCGGATCTTTGTATTTTTCGACGAAAGTTGCGATGAAGCAGAGCAATATGTTTTCAGTGTGTTTTGTCTGGTTAGTGCGATGAACAATAAGCGGTAGCCTAATGTGTTTTGAACATTTTTAAGAATCGCAGTCTGATCGCTAAATATTGAAGATTCATTGTTGATTTGATTTTCGTGAAGAGAATTTTAGCAAATTTCTTGTTTACAATTATCACGATTTTTATATTGGCGTTCGATATTGATCAATTAGTTCACATGTGCTCTAGCTGATTGCGTAAGAAATGCATATCTCGTTTGTGGACGCTAATTTATAGCTTTATGACGAAGAAATGAATACTTTCTCTCATTTGTGTCGTTAGAAGAAGAGGAAAGAAAGAAAGAGGAAAAGGAAGAGAAAGACACGTTAAGACACTTAACTTATTACAATGGTTTACTACTTAGTTAATAAGAACATCTCTCCGAGGGCAATGCTTGTCCAAATCACGTGTGTTCTTCGCTGTAAGTCCAACGTAACTGTCTTCAACGTGTCTTGTAAAGCAAAGAAAAAGAGGGGAAAAGAAGAATGAATGGAAGATCAATGAAACTGTAAAACAAGGTTCAGACGTAGGAGCATTTTGTGACACTATAAAGTGCCTGTCTTGTCGTTTAGAGACGTGAACAAAAAAAAAAAAAGAAAACGCGCTAGATTTCTTATGAACCACTGTATAACGATATGTAATGTTTCGTTTTAGCACTGTCAGGAGAAGGAAGAAACAAATAATCGAACACGCATGTAACGTGAGTTTAGTTGACATTTTGTGTAGAACGAATTGTTCGTGGTTCCGTACGTATGGTTGTATTTGCATCGAACATTATCGAGATACGTCTTTCCTAGTATTATACGTCATCCAAGTGTCATCGTGTCATCGAAAAACGAATATATTGGAAATATTTGGTTATTTTAGGCGATATCGTAGATTTTCGTATTGTCTTTTTTTATTCTTTTCATTTTCATATATTGTACCCATTATTCGACCAAGATATCCATCGTGCGAAACTAAATGTAAGAAAAAAGCGAAACCCAGTGATAAATTCTTAATTGAAAGGTAGAAAGAATAAGTTAGTACGACCCGATTCGCAAAATATACAAATCTTTAATATAATATGAAACAATTTGATATGAAATAAATCAATTTTGACCACAAAATAGACGATTACAAATCGTATCAATATTATAATAAATTCTACACGTTCCAATTTGTGAATTAGCTTATATTAGCCTTTCTATCTCTCAAATAAGAATTTCGAATGTTAAAGTTGTGTGAGAAAAAGTTAGTCGCGATTTTTCGAAGACAGAGAGAAGATACGTCAAGATTAAGAAAAAAAAAGACATTTTCCAGATGAATATTCACATCTAATTCCGGATAAATAATGATTTTGACGTTATTCTTTTTCATCTATTCCAAGAGCTTGTGAGTACTTCCGGTTTTCATGCGGCGAATGGATAGCTCGGTCGACATTTTTTCGTTATACATATATGTATAGAACTCATATATAAATTAATATTAACTCAAACTTGTGAGAATATAAATATGATAGGTATATAAATCGAGAAATTAACGATATACTTATATTGCGTACGAAACAAGAAGAAGAAAAGAAAAGAACCCGTATATTATTTGATAATGAGAAATCATACGATAAGGCATATTCAATATTCGACGAGTTTATTGTTTTCTTCTTTTTTTGTAGTACCATCTTTTAAAGAAGCCTGATTAGATTTTTATAATGTCTGACTGTACTTGATCGAGATAGAAGAAGCAATTCAGTTTGTTTCGACGCTTATGACCGAATTTAGGGTCGGTGTACTGAAGGAACTTAATGCAATGTATCTTTAAAGAAAGATCAGGGATTATGAGATAAAATTAATATTAATTACATTAATATTAAATATTAAATTAATATTAATTCGTGCACTTTCAATATTCCGTGAACGTATTGCTCGGCATTAATCTCCATTTCAGCGTCCGACTTTAAAAATCGATCAAATCGTGACACAAGAGACAAAGTAACGTGCGCACGTTTTAGTATTAACAAAAGAAAAGTATGAGTGTGTAAAAAAAAAGAGATAATGGTGTGATCCAGGGTTAAAGTTGACGATCAGAAACACTAAACACGAGGTCCTGCATTTTCACAAATATCTCGATGAGTGATAAAACGCTTCGTCTTTACGTTTTACTTTTCCTCGGCAGTTATTTTAATAGTAGTATACAGCTATTAGCAGCTATTAATGTCTAATTTTATTTACGAATCGGGTCGCACGAGATGCGAAACTGCCTGCATACAAAAAAAAAATTATCACCCGATCGACGCACAACCCGATTGAAGCGCATCTTAGCATGTAGACACGTTCGCTGATAATGATCCTTTTATCGTGTGAACAAAAGTACAAAAATTGTACCAAACATGCCTTATCGTAATAATAATAATAAGTGATGCACCACGAAAGTACTCATTATTTTTGACATTGACAAACGAATCGCAAACGTTGCGAGAGCTCTGAGAAAAATACGAGTAGGCGAATTTTTTAGCGTAAAAAGAAAATGCAGGCAACTTTGCATCTGTTTGTGCATCGTCTTAATGATCGTTCCGACTGCATTTAATTGTCTGCTACGTGCGCTATGTGTATGTTATCGTCTTTTTTGTTTTTATTTTAAGTTCTTAAAAAAATAGGTTCCTAATACGCGAAATCATGTTAAATGTGTGTATGCATGTTTTGCTATAGCATTTTACGATGTTTTTGAAAATGCTTTGTGATCTCCGAATGAAAGAAAGAAGTAGGCCTATAGTAACAAAGTCGCATTTTTACTGCAGATTGAAAAGAAAAAAAAAAACCTCGATTTTGATCCTCCCAACGGAGGAGGGGTCATCCGACTTTAACTTTTGTAAGAAAAAGAGAGCATTTATCGCGCTATCGGGAATCATTCGATCGGAAATCTGGTCTCTCAGGAAGAATGTAATATTTGAAATTTTTATGATGAAAAATTTCAAGGCGAGGGAATGCAAAAAAAACCAGAAAAGGAGTAATGAATTGTAAAAAATAATGCCTAGAATTTTGCGTATATATTGTATTATAACACCTTTCAGTTTGTTTTGAAACGTTACAATATAAGGAAACATTTTATAACAAACATGTTCTTTCTCATACAAAACATCCTTCCTGCCTAACGATAGTAAGAGGAAATGACGACCTCATTTTTATTTCTTATTCGATATATTAAGTTAGAATAGGTGATATATTTACATATTATGGCGTTAATTGAAAAAATAACATCTTCTGGTTAGACACCTTTATCATCTATCCAATGTCGCGCTTTCTCACATCGTGTAGCGTACATATATCCTACGTGGGTGTTATACTTTGTTCCTTGATACAGATATGTACATACATTTGTAATATCAAAGGTAGACGGTATACAATGAGATTCACGGGAACTGATAGTTAGCTTCTCGTTAGCAAGTGGGAAGTCGGTCGGAAATGCTCTACATTCATACAAATAATACATTTCTTCATCTTGCGCAGATTTAACAGGAATATAGAAAGGAGTATTTTATGATTTATTACGAAGAACAGATCAATCGAACGAATGTAATAAATGATATAGAAACGACAATAGTTTGTAGCGACAGTATTCGCATTGTCGGAAGTGATAAAAATTTAAATATTATAGTATAGTAACAACCAACTCAGCCTTTACAGACAGCCTATTTGATATCTCGACGATAATAATAATTATTTTAATCCTTTTTACAATGCATAAATAAATCGGAAGTATTTCGATATTTATAGCATGAGATATAAAATTCCACCGAGCCTCATCACATAAATATTAGGAGTAGGACGTAACGGGCGCTGGTTAACGCTGGTTTTACGTAGACTTTTTCTCCTCTCCCGCCGGATGGAAACTTATGGAGGCGGAATTGATGCAGAAGCGCTTCCTCGTAGGCTTCGGCCCGTCGTTGAACACGTGTCCCAGGTGTGCATCGCATTTCGAACAGGTCACTTCGGTCCGCACCATATCTGGGTTTGCGATCAGCAGTAGTAGATTGCCGCCGACTAGTTGGCGCCGTTTAATTCGACGTGACGCGTGATTTTCAGTGGTGTTGTTTTTTTTTCAGTGATGAGAGAGTGAAGTGGTTTTTCAGTGGTGATAGTAGCCAGGGGAATTGTTCAAGGAGGGCGAGAGGAGAAAGAACAATAGAGTGTGATTAGACGCAGACCGACACCCTTCTCGCGGCGTACAATTTTCAAGAAATAACAGAAGCGATCGAAAAGACCTCGGACTGAGGAGAAAATCAAAGATTGACTCGATTGTGAGGTAACAGCTAACATCCATATGATAATAAAAGAATAATGATGGAAAAATACGTACATTTATGAAACGATTTTATTCACAATATATTTTTTATATTTAACTCTTGACTGATTATTGTAGTACGCTTCCAATTCGATTGTATGCTTACTTAGTAATGTCGAAATATTTTCTCTTATATATGCAACGGATACGAAAATATTTCCTTTTATCAAGCGTTTATTTGTGCTACAGAGAAATATTATACTTTTAACTATGAAACACACTTGCAAATTAAATATTATCTCAACTGGCGTAATTATCATAAAAACGTAAAAGCGAAGGAATTTTATTTGCATTAGAAACATTATACGCTTGTGAAAAATGACATCGATGTATGTATTAACAATTTGCAACTAAAAACATTATTTAATTGCTTTTAGCCAAACAAGAAGAATGTTGCAAGAATGAATGTTATCGAGCAGTTATCGAAAACTTTGTAAACAGGATTGAGCAATGCGGCAGATATTTTTATTTATCCTTTGGTCATATTTCCAATGTTTCATAACGTACGGCTGGCATATTAGTTTAAATGTAAAAAGTGATGTAAGTCTAACACAATCACACTCTAAGCAAGTGCATGCAGGAACTGAGGAGAACAGGAATTTTCATCTAATATACACATAATATATTTACAATAAAAAAAAGAATGATATGCATAAAAACCAGTACTATATAGATCCTGTTTTTCTTATTAAAAAAATTTTTTAAATAGATTATAATACATTATATATAGATACACAATATAACAGATAAAAGTATATACATAAAGAAATTTCTACATTCGTATATAAAAGATATGAAAGGAGCAAATGAAAATAAAACTACGTTCATCGAATTTTACTTCATGGAAAAAATTTAATCTTGTGGGAAATTGAATATAAAAGAAAAATTTCTATTTTATATAAGTGTAAAAAAAGTGAAATGTGACCAGGATAGGTTCAGTAATGTTATGCAAGTGTAGTATGATACATGTTACGATTATGATCTTGTAAATAGTAAGCAGATACAACGTTGGAAACGAAGATTTCTTCGCATAATTCTAGGACTTAGAGCTCAGACACAATGAATGAGAATAAAGAATAAGAAATATAAAAACAATAAATGAGAAAGTTTCCCAAGTAAGAATTTGTTGATGATGTGTAATGTAATTTTTTGCGACAAATTGTACACAGATTTTTAAGATGTTTACATCATTTTAAGATGCTAACATTAATAATATTAAAATCGATTATTAATCAATAATACAATTTCAGTTTTAATTTATAATTTGTTTCAAGAAACCAAAATAACTTTGGCGCGCATTTGCTAGGAAAGATATATCACATAAAAAACAAAAAGAAATATTATATTGTACATCATCAAGATTTCTACTTTTTAGCTGACATTTATCTCTCATTTATATTGTTTAAATCTTCTATCTTAATCTCAAGAATTTTTATTTGTACTAGTTAAATATAAAGAATTAGGAACAGAGAAAATTCTGGTTCCAATGAAAACACTTGGATTTTCTTGATTGTGTATGAAGTATGTTTGATTCTTTCTTTTTAATCTTTCCTGTTTTTAACTTCTTGCTCCCTTCATCCGTGTCTGGGCCCATACTCCAAGTAGCCGCGCGATATTATATGCGATATCTAAGATGACGTTAAGATGAATTCGAAGTGTGTATATCCAGAGAGTGCCATTCTAAGAAACGCGAGTATGAAAATTATAAGAGATACGCTAATGAGGTCAAGTCAAGAAACGGCGATCGCTTACCGTGAGAGGTGTCTTTGGTCAGTTTGACGCGTCCCTGATCCAGAACCTCGTTGAACGCGGGCCAGCCGCATCCGCTATCGTACTTGGTGTCCGAGGAGAATAATTCCTGATCGCACACGATGCAGGTGTATGTGCCCTTCTCGTAGAACTTGTTGTAGCAACCGGTAAACGGCCTGCGTACCAAATAAAGCGTATGAATGAGTCAGGGGAGGATGAGCAAGGGTGGCAGGGGACGGGAAAGACGGGGGAGGGACAAACCGTGACACACACACACACACACACACACACACACACACACACACACACACACACACACACACACACACACACACACACACACACACACACA